TCTCGCCTCCTCGCTTCTTTTGATCGGTGACGTCAAAAATCAGGAAATTTAGAAGCTTTGTAGGCGGCATCTTTATAACATTTAATGACGGCAATCCTAAAACATGTTTTTTAACGCAATTGCGAACGCACTACGGCCCTTCTTTTTGAAATACCAAAAATCGGGAGTTCGTTGTGGTGCCGTCTCCTGGATTTGTATCCTCCAACGGAAAACAGGCGACACCGCTCAAAACCGGTCCGCCGCAACGCCGGCGCTAGCCGGCGCTCGCTCCTTTCCTCCTCGCTTTGGGTCGCCATGGCAACAGCAGGGAGTGGTGACAGGAAAGGGGACTCTCAGGTCTCCGCAATTTTTGACGTCAAGGCACCGGCGCCGATCGCGCGGGAACTTCGAATTCTGCATTTGGAAATTGTTTTTTTACTTCACGAATACTGAATTCCCAAATTTCAAATTTGGAGGGTAATGTCCCGGCATCGTTTTCAACCGTTTCGGATAATAAAAAAAAATATGATTTTGATGTGTCAGTGCCCCTTTAAGACATTACATGGTGGAGCTTCGCGCGTTGTGTAAATGCGAGTTAACAAATGTGTAGACTCGACTTCAACCAGCTGTCTTGTCAAAAATGACCTGTTGATATTTCACAAGTCCCATTCACGTAATTAGCCTTCGCAGAAAAGATTAGCATTTATCCAAACGGAACGCCTCCAAATACTAACACTTTTTTTCTCTCTTATATGAAACTTAACAGTTTGTAGAAGCCGCGCTTTCAACACCGGAGTCTCGCAGTCAGAATAAACGGTCACTTCAATCGCTAAAACTGAGTTACTGAGACCAAGTCGAGCCTCGTCTCTGCGTCTCCCCGTGACCAACCTTTCTGTGTAGTCCAATGTCGAACTCAATATCCGCAATGACACACTTGATGCACGGCACGTTCCACTCAAAAAGCAGATTCAGGGGCAGTATCCTGACGTCTTCATGACATCGTCGTCGCTGTTTCAGATAACATTCCAGATGAAAAACGAAGAACGAACCGCGCCCCGAAACGTCACTCATGGCAACACCCTACGAATACAAAACAAATGCAAACTAAAAAACAAAAAGCCGCCCGAGAGAACTGAAAATACTTGATGGAGAAAAAAAAAAAAAACAAAGAAAGAAAAAAAAACGTGTTTGCTTGTACGTCACTCGACCGGCGGGTTGAAAATGGCGACCTTCCCCCGTCCTTCGGGCTGTGCTTTGTCCGTGTGTTGTGTGTAGTGGGAGGAGGAAAAGAGATTTTCGTGGGCGCCCTTCCCCCTCCCACCAACCCCCTACCCGGCATTCTTTCTTGTAATCCTCGCTCACGCTGGGTGTTGTGTAGATGGGGCAGATAGGGTCCGTCGGGAAAATGGGAAGGGGTCTTTGTTTGAAAAGAACCTGTTTTGAGTAAGTTGGAAGTTGAAATACAGCCTTCGTCGGAAGCTAGTCGCCGTTAGTTCTCCTTGTGTCATCTTCGATCATTGCGGGATCCGGTTTGCATTCGCGGTGCTGCAGCACTGCATGCACTTGATCTGTTCTGAAGTCACAAGTCAAGGAACCTCGATTAAAGTATGCCAAAGTACTTCTGTTTATGGTGTATTAATTAACTGCGGCTTCAGAAAGTGTTTTATTTTGAGCGCGTTCTCTAGCTTGCAAAGCACGCGCCATGCCCTATTCTTTTTCGCACCATGGTTGTTGATTTTGTTATGCAGCACAGAGACCTCATATTCAATCGTATCGAACGAAACGCCAGTTCTACTGATGACGTTTTTGTGTATGTGTGTTTTGCAGACCCTGGCATGGGATCACTTGACCATAAATGCCTGCCCACACATGCAGCGGAGCGCTACAAGCATAGCGCTGACCTTGCGCTAAGCGCGTGCAGACGGGAGCTGTGACCGCTTTGTATCGGGCCGTGAAAACTGTTTCTCATGGCAGACGAAAAGTAGCTCACGACACGTGAGCAGCGCAACAACAGTGCTTCGCTGCGTGTAAGAACCGGCTTTATGGAGACATTTATTCGATGGCACACTAGACTTTCGCGTTGATGGCGGGAGCTCTTGCTGTCACTTCGAAGCATAGTTTGAGCACGCACACGGTGGGTTTGTAGTTTGCAGCGAACGGTCTACTAAAAATCGAATCTTGCGCTGGTCTGCTGTCAACAGATCGCATGTTGGATGTGAACCATTGTAGCACTTATACAGCCTATTTGTTATTTTATTATGCGTGTGTTATATCTCATACTTTTGTTGAGCTATCGGGTATTTCACGCTGCCTGTTACTAATAAACCAAATTCCTCGCAAACAGGTAAGAAGCTGTCGGTGCCACAATAAACGGTGCTTGGACCACGACCGGTTCGGACAGACGTCCCAGTATCCAAGCCATAGTCGACGCAAGTGCACTCTTTCTGAATTTGGCCTTATCGTGGATTCTACCGCCCAGGAACTTCGACTTCAGTCATCCTTGAATGCGATCCCTGCTGAAAAAAACCGTATACTTTTAGTACGGGTCCTACCCGTTTGGGTCATATGGTGTTATGGACATACAGGTCCCGTATTCAGTCGGGTCGGGTCGACCCGACTGAACCATGCTGTTTGTGGTTGGGTTGACCCGACCGTAGACACGGGTCGACCCGACCGTAGACACGGGTCGACCCGACCGTAGACACGGGTCGACCCGACCGTAGACGCGGGTCGACCCGACCGTAGACACGGGTCGACCCGACCGTAGACACGGGTTGACCTGACCGTAGACACTGGTCGACCTGACTGTAGACATGGGTTGACCCGACTGTAGACACGGGTCAACCCGACCTACGACACGGGTCGACCTGACTGTAGACACAGGTCAACCCGACTATAGACACAGGTCGACCTACGTAAACCAGCAGATACGGGTGCCATGCAATTCCTGTTCACAAAAGGTTAGCATCCCGAGACAGTACCACCTAGATAGGCAAGGCCCCCAGATCACTTTCATACCATCCTCACAGCGAGATTGGGTATGAGTGCTGTGACAGTGTTTGGGTTACACTTGTTTGGGTTACACAGCCCTAAACATATGGCCCCAACTTGTCTCCGAGCATCGAGCTAATGACGAACACAACGCCGTTTCTCCCGCAGCGGCCACTCGAGAAACTGCGCGTGACTTCTATTTTTGGCTTAGACAGGGGTCACCCCCGACCCCCCGGCGGACGCGCCGCGTCGAACTACTGAAGTTAAAATGCACCTAGGTCGGGACGCGCTACCTGAAAGGCCGGCTGAGGCATGGTTTTATAAAAACAATATTAATTGTTCCGCAAAACCTTGCGAACTAAAGATGATAAAAACATCACGCGCCCATCATTTGGTACTAAACTCCAATAAATTTCATACAAAAAGAGTCTTTTTCGTTTGTTTTTACGCGGTATCACGAACTGATAAACGGCCACAGCTTTCCCGCTTATCAGTAGAGTTACCGGGTGACCGCCATGACTATCCGGTTCACCGGCTTAGCGCACCGGGCGACCGCTTTGCTTTCCTGGAGTTCCGGTAATGCCCGGTATGACCGGAGCCACAGTCCAATACACCAGTTAGGGCAACCGCTATGAAGCTACCGGGCTCCAGACTAAGTAAACCGGTCCCGGTAAAACACTCCGGGCCGTCGCTATGGCGTCACCGGGACTCTGGACAACGTACACCGGTCCCGGTAAAGCTACTCCGGGCCGCCGCTATGACCGGAGCCACAGTCCGGTACACCAGTTAAGGCAACCGCTATGAGGCTACCGGGGCTCCGGGCTAAGTAAACCGGTCCCGGTAAAGCGCTCCGGGCCGCCGCTATGGCGTCACCGGGACTCCGGAGAACGGACACCGGTCCCGGTAAAGCTACTCCGGGCCGCCGCTATGACCGGAGCCACAGTCCGGTACACCAGTTAAGGCAACCGCTATGAGGCTACCGGGGCTCCGGGCTAAGTAAACCGGTCCCGGTAAAGCGCTCCGGGCCGCCGCTATGGCGTCACCGGGACTCCGGAGAACGGACACCGGTCCCGGTAAAGCTACTCCGGGCCGCCGCTATAATGCTATCGGGCCTCCGGTCTAAATATACCGGACCGGTATGATCCGGTATAACTTCATATGGGTTTTTTCAGTAGGGATGTGTATCTATGAGGCAATAAAGCTACATTTAACCTGAACTGCACAATTTGTTTTCGGAGATTTGTGGTTCGGAATCAAATGTAAAGGATAAACCTGTAGTCCCAGGGGTATACATCCACGGGCGCAACGTTTACACCCAGGGGTTCAAGTGCTAGGGCCTAACAGTTGGTCCTCGTGGTTCAATTGAAACGGTGTAACAGTTGGTCACAGGGGACCAAGTGCAAAGGCTTAACAGCTAGTCTCCAGGGGTCAACTGCAACGGCGCAACATTTGATCCCATCGGAGGAACTGCGAGAGACTAATGGAGGGGTGAAACTGTTACTCTCCTTCCCGTTAGCACCCGAGGGGACTAATAGTTGTGGCAACGCACTTGCTCCCCTCGGGGACTAAGGCGCGCTTCCCTTTTTCTAAGTGTATGGTGTACAGTATATTACGAACCCCAAACTTGCGGACATAATTTCAGTCAATAATTTCCTAATGCATGTCCAGGAGAAACCTGAATTGGTATTATATAATGTAAGTATTGAAATTATAATATATAAACGAATTCAGAGAACCGAGAAGGCTCTTGAATATAAAAAACATTTTGTTCGTCAGGTGTCAGCTGTAACCTCAATATTTTAATGACACAGGGCTTTCGTTACAGCAATTTCCTCACATTTACTACCACCTTAAAACATGGAGTTTTATATGCAGATGAGATTTCGAAACTTTTGTGTAGCAGCGTCAAGCCGTTTTCGAAGTTACCACTAGCATGAAAAGGCTGAACATAGTTTAGAAGTTAAAAGAGCTAAAAAAATTTAAAACTAGGCACTTTAAAATTCTGTAGGATAAGTAAGCGTCGTACTCACGTTGCTTGCAGTGTATAACATGGCCGATAGTCGTAAAGACAAGAAGGAAGAAAACGGTACGCATCGTTTGTGGTCTTGATTCGTTATAGGACGAACTTGCGTGCGTACATATTTAGTGAAGCCTTAGCTCCCTTTTTGATGATATTTCACATTACAAGTCGAACTTTATTCTTCCGTCATCAACACATTTGGCATTAACTCGTCCGTGTTTCTTGCGAGCGCTTGGATGACCGTTAAAGGTCACATTTCCAACATGTTTTTGTACTCACGCATTGTTCAAGTCACAGGACAATGCAGACGCAGAAGTCATCTGACATTTTTACACACACTACAGCGCACTATTGCAAACAACACTCACTCCTGACAGACGAAAAATAAAGCAAAATTCAAACAAACCGCGCTGACTGACAACTCGTTTTTATATATACTTTGTCTCCTTGTACCTCTTGCACTACCGAATTTCCCGAATCACGCGCACTGTTCTCCTAGACGCCTAATTTTTTTTCTCTTTCTCTCTCAGGTTTAAAGATGGTGCACTGATACAGTTTTCATAATTAACTAGAAAAATTATAGAAGGTGAACACATCGCCAGGAAATGTAAAAACTGTATCAGTACAGCATCTGTAAACCTGACAGAAAAAGAGAAAAAATGTTTAGGCGTCTAGGAGAGCGGTGCGCGTAATTCGGGGAATTCGGTAGTGCAAGAGGTACAAGGAGACAAAGTATATATGAAAACGAGTTGTCAGTCAGCGCGGTTTGTTTGAATTTTGCTTTATTTTTCGTCTGTCAGGAGTGAGTGTTGTTTGCAATAGTGCGCTGTAGTGTGTGTAAAAAGGAGCAACCAACTCGCCCAAGCTGCTACGTTATCATCTGACATATTTCGCACTTGACGCTTCGCACTTTAAACAATATTTCTATCTTAAATGACATGTGTTCCGCTCGCTCGTTTCGCTTCCTGGAGTTTGCATGGACATTTATAAAGGTATTTTTGGTAAAAGTCAAGTCCATTTGGAATCAAAAATGGGTCGAAATAATCTTCCGTGCGAGCCATCTGTTTGCGACTCAGCAAACTATAGAAGGCGCGTTTGTCAAGCAAAATGGCGCACGAAAGGAGGTCCTTTTCGTCGTTCAGCACGCGAACCACCATAAATCTTTTGCGCTTCAGCGTAAAATCGGTGTTATATATGAAAGCGAACGCCAATTTTCGACGCTAAAAACCTTCTTCTAGCCAGTGCGTAAAAATGACACGGCGGTAGCATAAAATCAATTACTGGGACCGATGTTTGTTTCTATGTCGCCTACGAGAACCAAGCAGCGATAGCAGACGACAGAGTCGAAACGACCTCTTCTCCTGAGCTTCTCGGCGTTCCCGTTACGCGGCGTCCATTTCTCTGGAGTCGCCAATACCTCCATTTTTCCGCTTCGTCCCTGAAGCAATATCGAGGGATATGATAAGAGATAAAAACGAATTGAGCAAACTGCACATCGCTTAGGTGTTTTATTCGGGCTGCATTACTGAATTTGTTTATATTTATTTTTTTATTTTTATTTCTATTTGTTTTATTTTCGGCCAAAAGAGGTTACGTTAGGAGTTTGTGCAATGCTTTCATGCAGGCTTGAAATAAAAAACGCAATAGTTTCAGTCGTGATTATCGGCACAATGTAAATCATAAATAAGATCGCTCGGATTCTTATTAGATAATCAAAATTAGAACGTTACCAAAATATAACTCTAGAGAGCGTTTTTACTGATATTTGATGGCTCCATCAATTGATACCTTTCATAAAAACACGTATATGAGGGAATCACTAAAAACTATCGGGGGAAACAAAAAACAAAGTGGTATGATTTCTCGCGCTAAAATAATCCGCAGCGCCACGTGACCAATACAGCAATTTGTTTCCTCTGCTAAATTTGACGGGGAAATTGATGTCAAATGTCCCCTGACGTCAGTTGACCTATACACCAGTTCAGTTTCCACGCTAAGTTCGGCGAAAAGGTTAGTGTCGCGTGACCCGCTAAATTTAGCGGGGAAATTAAATTGGTATATATGTATATCCCGTGACGTCGGGTCACATGGCATTACGTTTCCAGCCAAATTAAGCGGAGAAACATAACTGGTGTCTGGGTCACGTGACATAAATTTTTCTGCTACATTTAGCAAGGAAATTAAACGTGTGTGTAGTTCTCGGGACGTCGGGTCACGTGAACTATCGACTAACGAACGATAAATATCCTAGCCAAATTTAGCGAGAAAACATAATTAGCGTATATATCACGTGACGTGAGGTCCCGTGACATCGAATGACGTCACCTGACTTACAGTCGAGAGAGACGACACTTTCGTGACGCAAGCCTTCGTGATATCGATTCGTAACTTTGCACCCCCTTCCAAGCGCCGAGAAAGGCATAGCTTTACGTCAAAAACTATGTGAACGCGTTTTTTTTATTATTGCACTCCTTCACGCAGCCATGAACGGGTCGCGCACTTCGGGGAGCTGCCTCAGTTGTGTCATTGGTTGATTTTCTCGCTGCGGTCTAAGATGCGGCGTTCGCATAAGTTTGGCGATCATAGTTTTGTTTGACTGGCATTGAGCATTGGTATTTCTTTTTATCCATTAGTCAAGAGCATTTCAGGGTAAAAGTGCACTTACGTAATGTAACGCTTCTATGGCATTGTTTATTCTCATGCTTGGAAAGGTAATATATGTACACATCGCGACACTGTTAGCGCGAACACGACATCGGCGCATTTTCGCATTTTACTTCTAAATAGTAGTAGCGAGCACGAAATGTTTTCGCTTATAATATAGAACTAAATGAGTTCTTTCCGTGGCAATAATAACTTGGATGATGTCTCTTGGTTTTAAAGAGAACTACTGCCAAAACCGGCAATCGCTTGTTCGCGCTAACAGTGTCGCCCTCTGTACGCGTATTGTTTGAGCAACACACGCTCGAACTTGCTTCGCAGGAAACTAAGCTGATTGCAGACAAGATGTTAGTGCGCCCAATATCAGAATACTCCGCAGGTCTCGGATTCAAGAGTAAAAAATTAGCAGCGACCTTTACCTCTGAAGTACTTCAAATACATGAAATGCGTATTTTTGGTGCGATCGTTTCAACATATTTAAGAGACATTTTAACCGTTGTTTCGAGGAATGAAAAAAATAAATAAAAGCCTGCTTTTTTTTTTCTGGTACATTGACCGTCGATGCTGGGTGCATAGGTCACGCTAAATTTAGTCTGGAAAGTGCCTGGTGAGGCTAGTGTTATATTCGGTTTTACGTGCACTTGGTTTGGGCGCTCACTTTACAACTCTGCTTTATCAGTCGTGCGCTCCAACATTTCATTAGGCTGCCCTATGCAGTCGCGTGACTACTTGGCGAACATCGCATTTCACTAACAATCTGAACGCTCAGTTGTTTAGCATGGTGTGCATGCAGGTGACGTCATCGCAGTCTATGCTAGTGGTCCATGCGATTTGTTCTTGCTGAGAAAATGGAATCCGGGGATGAAAAATGCACGCTGCAGAAGGTGCGCGTTCAGTGCAAGCCATGCATTTCAGAGGCACAAATTCCTCTTCCAAGCGCAGCGTCGTCAGGAAAGGCGCGAGCGTCTGACACCGCGAAAACGTGCTTTCTGGGAAGGGTGATTTTTTTGCAAACAGTTTCCGCGGCTACGTTTTCTTGACTATGCCGAGGATCCGGGGCAGGGAAACCTTTACAACACAGTACGTTTCTAAGGCTACACCTCCCACCCCTCTTTTTTTCAGTTTTTTTTGCGTTCTTTTTTTTTTTTGCTTCTTCGGAGATTACGTTGTATTCCTGAGGGAATGTTGTATTTTAATGCGGCTGCCTAAGTAGGGCAGCGCAGGACTGAACAGCCAGTCCTTCCATCTCGTGTTCCTCGTCCACTTCTTTTTTTTACCAGCGGCCAGGGTCCGCTCGCGAACACAAAACAATCCCCCCTCAAAGCAGAATTCAAGAAGGGGAGAATTTTTTCCGGAGGTTTTCTATATCTCGTGGACTTTCGCGGAGCAGTAAGAGGTAATTATGTAGTCGCTCAAGTTTCTCAATTTGTGTCGCTCCTCTTTACTCTGTGTCTTGCTGGAACGTGGGCTCGAGACACTCGATAAATTCCCGCATCCTCCTCCAGACGCGAAGAAGGTACTTGGTCTCAACACTTCTTGAATTCTTCCAGGGGGACCAAACGATGGCGTTCCCTTCGGTTGGTGTGTAGGAAAGTTTACTTGAACATAGTCTCCTACACCCGCTGTAAATGGTTTGGCTCTCCGCCTGTCGTCTGTGTATTGCTTGGTGCGTGTCTGATAGTCAGCGATGCGATGGCGGAGTTCTTGCATCTCGAAGTGAGTGGGCTTGTCAAAACTTTGGAAGCCCACGATGTCCATACTAGTCCGCATCTTACGTCCATGTAGTAGTTCGGCGGGAGAGTGCTTCATAGATGTATGAGGTGTGCTTCTATAGACACATAGAAACTCTCCAAGGTAAGTACGAATTTTGCTTTGTCCTTGTATGATAGTTTGGACGTACCCTTGATAACCCGGTTGAATCTTTCAACCTGACCGTTGGCCTGTGGATGGTAGAGCGCAGACCGGCGATGGGGAAATCCCTGTAGACTTCAGGAACTCCCGGAGATGCGTGATTGTAACTGTGAACCATGGTCGGATACGATCACCTCTGGCTATCCCTCCCGGCTAACGATTGTTGCAAGGAAGTCACATATAGCTTCAGTCGTCGCTTGGCTGCGGAAAGCTACCTCCGGTCACTTACTGAAATAGTCGACCAATTTGATTGCAAAACTAAATTGCGAAGAAAATTTGTAAAATGGTGCGACAATATCTATTCTTAGTTGTTTCCATGCGCCTGATGCAAATGGGACCGGTTGTATTGGTGGTGCGGATGTTACCGCCGTCTCCTCATGTGTCTGGAATATGTGGCAGTCCTTGACGTAAGTGTCGATCTCGATGTCCCTCTTAGGCTACCAGAAACGCTGACGCAGGCGTTGTTTGCTTCGCACAATTCCCGCATGAGATTCGTGCGCGACGTCGACAAGTCGGCATCGTAGCGAAGCTGGTGGAATCAGTACTTCGCGTAGCACTAAACCTTCCATGA